AAAAGTTTGACTGTGAGCAAGCGGACTTGAAAATCATTTATACGCGCAAGTTGTCGTTATTTGCGACAAATATTTTCAATTGTTTATAATTTTTTTTTTTTTTTATTACTAGGCAAGAGAAAGTTTAACCATTTAAAGAAAGCAAGTGTTATCTGCTCGTACTTCGACCTTTATTCCTCGTACTGTATTAATATTATGAAAAGAGAAACTAATAAAATAAAAATAAACTGAGACTGTTTTGGTATTTCTGTTTATTGTGGATAAAATAAAATTTTTTAATTATTGTTTTTTATTTAATGATTAACAACATGATAGTATTTTGCTTTGTACATTTTTTTTTTTATAAGATTGTTGTGAGCATTTTTAAATAATCATACAACGTAAAATCAAAAAATACAAAAGTTGTCAAAAGCGTTAGTTAAATGCAATGTGTAAATAAAATGCATACGTTAGTGGTAAATAAAAGAATTTTTTAATTAAAATAATAAGCGATAACTTTTCAAAAATTTTGAATTATCTGCAACAATCCCAAAATATTATCGATAATCTTGAATAATTATCGGTAACTGTAGTTGGATCATTATTGCACGTACGCATCAAATCATCCCGTAGCGGGTAACGAAAAAAATCCCCTTGCTTGACAAAACACATTTGCACACCCCCACTTGATCGATCGTTATGTTAAAAGCTCACACGCTGTCCTTGAATTATAAGACGCCCATCAATTTTTGGCACTTTACATCTTTCTTGCACAAATAGTAAAGGCAAGTGCTTCTAGTGAGCGGTAAAATATTCAAATAGATGTATAAGTGCAGACAGATGAGCAATCAAGCTGTTCTGCAAGTGTGCAAGAGAATATTTCCAGGTAAAACAGTTAACTGAAACCGAAGCTCTCGACAGTGGTGAGCGATATACGCAACGGGACAAGAATAAGGCATCAGAAATTATGGTTGGTGGAGTAAAAAAGAGCACCAAAAAAAATCGCGAGCTTTTTCTTCTTGCGAAACTTGAAATTTAGGAGATATAATTTTTAAATTATTTTATACGTGTCGATTGTCTAAAAAATAAACAATTATGTGGAAAGTTAGCTACCTTATGCATAGTGGCTAGATCTTTTACAAGAAAAGTTTCATTATAAAAATATAACTGTAAATTTTACTATCTACATGTAATACATTAAAAACACATTCTCTAAAATAAATATATAAAGCGCATAACAAAAATACTGATTCAAGTCCACAGGGAAGTTGGCATGATTCCTTCAACGGTGTTGGCAGCTGGCTTGAGCGATTCATTACAGAGAAAGTTTAGTGGAAAATCGACCAGATGACCCTAAAAAACGAAAAATTATTATTTATTACGATTTACTATGAGAAATCCTTTGTTTTAACGTACCTGAACGTTTTTAATCATCTTTTGAGCAAGACTTGGATTAGTGGAACACAGAGGAGTTTCGTTTTGATATTGCTTCAACATTTGGAAATTAACTACTTTATTTGTCGGGATGCAATTAAATACATCCTCAAAAATTACTGTATTCACTTTGCTTCTCTCTCGCCAAATATCGTGGTAAAACGATTTCCTCACGATGTCTTTAACGCTAATATCTTCGTTAGACCACAAAAGGCCCAAGTGCTCGCGGAACAAATGCTTCCTAAGAGACCCTGCAAATTTTCCCGAATCGAAAGACATACCGTTTTGTCTACTTTCGTAGAATTCTGTGTCCTGAAAAAAAAAAAATATTGTGAAATTTTTTTTTTCACAAAAAATATTAAAAATATTGTGTATCTGCAAGAAAAGAACGTAAAAAAAAAAAAAAGAGAAAAACGTCGAGATTTATTCCTGATGTACATGCGTATTATTAAAGCTTTGAGTGGGCGAAAAAGTTTGACTGTGAGCAAGCGGACTTGAAAATCATTTATACGCGCAAGTTGTCGTTATTTGCGACAAATATTTTCAATTGTTTATAATTTTTTTTTTTTTTTATTACTAGGCAAGAGAAAGTTTAACCATTTAAAGAATACATGTATTATTAATGTCAAAGCTACGATGAAATAACGAAGCCAAGAACGTTAAACAAATAATATTACAAAATTGGTGCGCTTCAAACTGCTGTTAGTGTTCGTTATATATTTGTATTAGAGCAAAAGGTAATGTTTCACTCAAATTTTACACGTTTGTTTTTTTTTTGTTTTTTTTGTTTTTTTTTGTTTTTCAATTTTAATTTTCGGTTAGCAAAGTTTTTTGAATTATACTGCAACTCTATTTTTTCATCATGTACATGATCGTTATTAATGTTCGCTTCATTGTATATTTTTATACATTTTATTGTTACTCATATATTCGTATTGAGAAATAGAACCTACATACTTTCTCTCAAATAAAATTGTATTCAATTACATGAACAAAGTGAAGATAGAAGAAACAGTTCTATTTCTTAAAATAATAGTTTCGTAGTGAGTTTCAAACGATTGTTCTTTCAAAAAATTTAATATCGTATAATATAAATATGTTGACGATATAATTTATGTTGACGAGTCATGCATTACGTTTCATCATCGCACAATTAGAAAGAAGTCTAGTGTGCTCGTTGTTTGTTTGTTTGTTTTTTTTTCTTTTTTTTTTTTTTCGACATTCTTCATAACATATTTAAATAATCACACGTCACAAAAAAAGATGGTCTGTAGGACCAGTTTTATTTAAATATCGTCAGTGTTGTTGCGAATGTTCATAAGATATCAATGATGTTTAGAAAAGTGTTTTTTGTTCTCTATATTAATCACGCAAAGCTCACAAACTACAAATTCATGAGAATAAAACAGTAGTACCTACATACATAATATACGTACACAAAAAATAGAAATATTTGGGTGTGTGATTTTGGAGATCAGTAACGCAAGGTAATCACTGAAATTCCAAACTTTCATTGGACATTATATTAATTTGTTACACTCTCGCGCGTGAGTTTGATTGATCATCAAAATCGCACTCTTTTTTTTTCTTTTTCTCGTAAATACATTACAGAACAGACGAATTAACTTTTGTGTACAAAACACTCACACTCTACAGCGGAAAAAAAAAAAAAAAAAAAAAAAAAAAAAAAAAAAAGGG